CTCCCTAAACTCCCTAAAACCCCTAACCCCAAGCTTCAGCGACGTAAGGTGGAGCCTCGAAGGGGTTTTCGGGCCATGCATCCTCAGGCCCCAAGGCTCCAACCCAAGCTACCCAGGGAGCTCAGTAGCTCCTCGGTTTAGGGTTTAGGGTTCAGGGTTTAGGGTTCGGGGTTTAGGGCTTTAGGGTTTAGGGTTTAGGGTGGAATCCTTAAGAAAGGGACCCTAAGGGTCCATGTATCCAAATAGATATACTTTGGCCTTAAAGTAGTCCCTATTTGGGTACTTTGGGGCCTATGTATATCTGTTTGGCTACATGGACCCTTAGGGGAATATACTGTCTATAGAGACCTTAGGTACTACTTCATAACATGACTGGACTATTTAGCGGCCTTACTATTACATAATCCTAATATGATTAGTTAGCTCATATTCGGTAACCACGGGGTATTGCGCTCTCTGAGTAGTTTGGATGTAGGGTTCAGCTCACCTTTCCATGTTATGCTCGATCTATGTTCGATCGATCTGTTCCCCTAGATTGTGTGCAATGCATGCTGCATGTCGTGTATTGGCAGAGACGGAGGAAGATAGACACAGAGAGAGAGAGAGATAGAAGAGAGATGTGCAATGTCTTCTTGAAGCTACCATCGGTTTTGCCATCCTCCGTCCTGGTCCAATTGAAGTGCCAAAGTGTGCAAGGTTCAACGACTCAATCATGTTGACTCAAAGAGTTCTAGCTGCCGTTCCATCCACCAGGGCTAACTAACTACACAACCCTGCTCCCGAAACCTCCTTAACTCTATCGGCATTCGACGGTTCTAAAAAATCTAAAAGCCCAAACCGTGAACCTAAAACCCGGCAGCCCCAAGCCATGAAGTTCCATAAACCAAAAGCGAACCTACCCTAAACCCCTAAACCCCTAAACCATAAACCCCTAAACCCTTAAACCGTAAAACCCTAAACCCTAAACCCCTAAACCCCTAAACCCTGACTGCCCCTAAACAACCCTAAAACCTTAAACTCCTAGTTAAACCCCTAAACCCTTAAACCGTAAAACCCTAAACCCTAAAACCCTAAACCCCTAAACCCTAAACCCTCTGAGGCCGTGCGCTTGCGAGGTCCAGAGCTCCGCCACGCCGCGCCGGCTCTGCAGAAGGACAAAGAGGCCCCGGGTTTCTCGAATCTTCCAAAATCCCTTAGTTTATACCTTAAGAAATAGTAGGATTCCTAAACAAAGGTCTATAATTAAGGAATGTACCTGAAGCTATAGTAGGATTCCTGCAAAGCGTCTACACTTAAGGAATATTCCTTATAATAAGTTATAGTCGGATTCCTTAACAAAGGTTTATGATTAAGGAATATACTTGTAGTTATAGCACGATTCCTTAACAGAGGTCTGTAATTAAGGAATATACCTTTAGTTATAGCAGGATTCCTTAACAGAGGTCTATGATTAAGGAATATACGAGCTATAGTAGGATTCCTTAACAGCGCCTATACTTAAGAAATATAACCTTAAGTTATAGTAGAATTCCTTAGCAAAGGTCTATAATTAAGGAATATACCTTAAGTTATAGTAGGATTCAAAAAGGTCTATAATTATGGAATATATTTTAAGCTACAGCAGGATTCCTTAAAGGGATCTATAAGGGGTTGTAAGGTTTCCGGTTTGCTTTTAGTGAGGGCGGGGGACTGTAAGGGCACTCAGTCCGGGCACGCCATGGGTTCTAAGGAAAGTCCAAGGTGTGGAGGGTTTGGGTTTCAGGGTTCAGGCTATTATACGGGCCTAAATAGCTCCTTATTACAATAGTTTTAGCAATAATGGTTTAGGACTTAACATAGGGGCTACTTGAGAATCCTTTTAGAGCTGAAAGCGAACTTTGTATTTATTCGAGGAGTTGTGGCGTCTCGGGGTGTTTGAGTAAAGGCTGCACTTACGCTTGTGGAAAGATCAGGGAGGAAAAGCACATACCCTAAAGGCTCGCAACCCCTGCACCTCAACAAGGGCTGCCAATCGCCCTAGTCTTGGCAAAGATGGATCGCAAGCTTGTGCGAAGGTTTAGGGGTTTAGGGGCTTAGGGTTTAGGGCGAATCCCACTGAACTCGAAACACAAAACCCTAAGCCTTAAATTGCACAGCTCTACCCAAACCCTAAGCCCTGAGTCCTAAGCCAAACCCTACTCTCCAACCTGCTCTCCAAAAGGTTGCCTTGGCCGCGATCATGGAGGACAGCCATGTGGAATTGAGATGTAGAGAATACGAACCTACCAAAAGAACACGTTAAGTCATGGTAGTTCAAGGACATCCCAGCCTACCAAAATGCAGACTGAAGCTGCTTTTTATGACTCGGAATCGTGCCGTTGCAGACGGTGGTCCTTGGTTGAATGTACGCCCAAGCCCTAAAAGCTAATTCCTAAACCCTCAACCCTGAACCCTAAACCGTCTACATGGCATCCCCTAGCCCATAAGCTCTACTCCCCCCGTAACAGACCGTAGAATCAAACTAGAAAGCCTTGCACCGCATGAGTCCGAACAAAAAAGCCCTGACAGCACCTTACAGTTATACATCCCTCATGCAACCCTTACAGGACCCTAAACCCTAAACCCCATAAAGCCCTAAACCCTACAACCCATAAGGCCCTAAACCCTAAAACCCATAAAAGCCCTAAGCCCTAAACCCCAAGAGCCGGATGTAAATCTCATAACCGCGGCCTCAAAGCCTTAAGCGCCTACGTACCCCGGACTCTGAACTTAAACCCCGGGGACCCTGAACACAAACCCTAAATCCTTTCAGGGTTTAGGGTTTAGGGTTTCAAGTTTAGGGTTTAGGGTTTAGGGCTTTCAAGTCTAGGGTTTAGAGTTTAGGGGTTTAGGGTCTAGGATTTAGGGTTTAGGGGTTTAGGCGTTTAGGGTTTAGGGTCCCTTTCAATGAAATCAAACCCCCTAGAGCCCGTCGAACTCAGCAGATTCGTCCAGGAATGATCACAATATACCCTAAGGGTTCAAGTACCCAAATAATTAGTAGGTTTTCAAGGTCCAAAAACCATTCAGAGTATGGATTTGGGGACTTAAAGCCTTACTATTTGGGTACTTGGGCCCTCTACGATAGGCCCACGGCCCCATTGCCCATAGCCTACTCTGTGGCACTTTTCTCCTTTCCGCACCCGCTTAAGCGCCCTAAACCCTAAACCCATACACAACAGTGAAGCCTATGAAGCCCTGAACTCGAAACCCTTACAAATCCCTAAACCCCAAACTCTCACCCCAAAACCCTAAACCCCGAAACCCTCAACCCCATGAAGCCCTAAACCCTAAACCCCACCAAAAAGGGCTCTCCCAGCACAGGATTGGATCTCCCTGGACTACGTCCCCGAGGAGCTGACCTCAGCGCTGCACTCGGCGCTTTTTGGGGGGAAGACTCCGAAATGAAGTGCCCTTTTGGGTTTAGGGTTTAGGGACTACTATAGCTATAGGGTTTAGGGACTACTATAGCTATAGGGTTTAGGGTTTAGGCTTTAGGGAGGACTGGTTCTCAAAATCAGGGTAGGAGTCCATCGACTACTTGGGGTATATGTTAATTTCCTAGTTCAAGATTGTTGGCGTCTGCGGGTGGAGAGAGTCCTCTTACGCCGCAGTGTGGGATTTGACTGAAGGGTTCGGCACGGATTTATGGCAGGTCTGATCCGGGTTTCACAACAAATATAGGTTTATGGCTTGGGTTTTCGGTGTTCGGGGTTTCTGGATACTGGATTCTGATTCTAGGCTGCAGGGTTTTCTAGGTTTAGAGTGTTGGTTTCGGGCTGTTCGGTTGAGGGCCTGAGGCTGAGAGAGAGCGGGTGATTGGGGCATATGATCTTAGTAGCTGAATTACTACACTTTGAACTTTTTTAGGATACAATGATCCCTTAATAGAACTGAAAGGTTTACACTTCTTTTAGGCTTATGAACTCAGCAACTAAGTGATAGATGGGGCCCAGGCTTGACGAAGGTTGAACTTTGATGTTTGAGATTTCGTCTAAGGGTTGGGAAGATCTCCCTCCGTGGGGGGCCCAAAAGCCCGAGACCCCTAGATCTCAAAGCCATTCACAGCAATCCCAAAGCCCGGGACTAAAGGAGAGACCCTTAAGGGTTTAGGGGTTTAGGGTTTAGGGGTTTAGGGCCGTTTAGGGTTTAGGGGCTGAGTAGGTAACCTTTAACCTTTTGGGGCTTATATAAACCTATTGCAATTCAATAGGTTAACCTGGGTTGGGCTAAGGTACTCGGCCGCTAAGCATGTACATCCTAAGCCCGTAACCCTAAACCCTGAACCCTAAACCCTTAACCCTAGACCCTGCACCCCAAACCCAGAGCCTAAGAAGCGGAGCAGTGCCGAGGACCGGGAAGTCATACTTTGCGGTCTTCAGCAAGACTGGGAGGACCTGTTTGTGTTTGGGGGAGGGCCCAGGGTTCCTCTAGGGTCAGGGTTTAGGGCTTAGGGTTCAGGGTTTAGGGTTTAGGGCTTTAGGGGTTTAGGATTTATAAGGGTTAAGGGGTTTAGGGTTGAGGGCTCAAGGTTCTTCTGAGGGGCCTTGTTTGAGGTTTCGTTTAGGCGTTCGCATTCGGGGGCCCTTGCAGGTGTCCTTTAGGGGGTTCCTGTCTGCATGGCAAGCCTGTGCCGTTTGGTCTGCAGATTGCACATAAAGCCTAAACCCCAAAAACCTTGTTCTACTGTACCGGCCTCTATGTTTATTCCGAAGATGGCCGCGCCGACTACAATTTCTGCCTCGGCTGGAGCTCTTCCGGCTTTGCTCAAACTTCGATCAAGGTCGGCGCACGGTAAGAGAGAGTATGACTAGTCATATCTAAGAAGAGCACTCATCATGGGAAATAGTGCAATACTGGCAGCAACATGAGTGGAAATACGGCTAGAAGCAATGCGAATATAATTTGGTAGTTAGCATTTCGCCGTCTAAGCATGAGGTGAATCAGGCCTGCAGTCTGTCATCCCATACAACCTGCGAGCCATGAAGATCTGCAAGTGCGGCGGTGCCGTGCTGCATCCGGCACCGCAGGCTCCATCACGCGGAAAGGTGAACGAAAGCATCTTCCTGGACGTGAGTGCGTATGGCCGGAGGGATGCAAAAGAGACAGGAAGGCACAGACGAGCTCCCACGTTTTCCTTCACTGGCTGCTGTTTCGCTGTGTGTGTGAATCTGGCTCGCCAGGCCTGCCCGCCATCTATAGAACTCACACGCCGAGTCAAAGCCTAAATTCAGCAACCACGTAAAGTAGACCTATACGTGCCACTTTGATCTTGAAGAGCGGCAAGGCCAGGGGTCATCTCCGAGACGGTCGTCAGCGACTTTGCAGAGGCTCCGCCTTAAGGACGACATGTACCATAAAAGGGTTTAAGGTTCACATAGCACATATTATGGGTACATACTGTTTTGAGGGTTTAGGGCCCCTACCTTTGCGGATCATTTGGTATTTCAGGTGTGTCTCTGCTGGCGAAGCAGCGGACAGAGTTGCTTGTCGATGCCGACACGCACAGCGTCAACATCATACAGGAGGCGATCGCAGCTTTAGAAAAGCTTGGCCACAATGTTTATACAACGATCTATGCACCGAAGCAACGGCAAAACAACAAGAAATGGACGAAGCTTCTCCAAAAGCGCAATGTTGTGTTCAGACCGGTCGATCGACAGCGACAGGATGGGTGGACAGGCGAGGAGATTGATGATGAAATCATTGCGGCTGTGCGGCATCTATGGAGCAAGAAGCATGTGCAATTCTTTGCATTGTTGACTCGGGACAATGGCTACCTGAACATCATTCAAGATACTTTATCTCAAGGTCATCGGGTTATAGTTCTGGCCGAGGAAAATTGTCGTACGGTTCTCAATCGGCATGCAGAGGTCGGTGCACTTGTCATGGCAATACAAAGGGAGCATGACCACGGCTGCAGGGTCCAAGCAGTTTTGCATGCCGACGGCAGTGGCAGCGTTCGGCAATGCAAGCTACAAGAGACTTTGCAGGAAACATCAGAACACACTGCCGCTGCCTTGATGCAGTTCTTCCAGGAATTGGGCTACAGGCAGGATTCTGGATATCTTGTTCAATCTGCCACCAAGTTCTGGTTCGAAAATACGATGGGTGACCTCACTGTGTTTCCGCAATGCCTGGCATTGCAAACGGTATATGACGCCACGCTATTGCACGGCAGTCACTCCTTCAAGAAATACAAGAATGATCTGGCATTCTTGTCGCCGGTAACGTCGAGGTCGGGCTCCAAAGTCAAGGCCCGCGCGGAGTATGGGAGTATGTCTGCAAAGGCAGTATTCTGCGGAGGTGGTCCTTTCATGTTGCGGGATTCGACGGAGCTCACCAGTGAAGTGCTCCGAAGATTGGGCTACCTCGATGCTGGCTTAAATTCAGACATGTCGGAAGCAATGGTGGCATTCGTGAACAGGCCGGACAACAAGCACGTGTTACGAAAGCGCGACATGTTGCCTTCGAAGCTGGACAGGCGGCAAGATGTTGACGACAAGCTGAGGGCTGCATTTCTAAGCAATTGCACCAAGGGCTTCTGGCAGCTGCCAGCTACGGACCTCGAAATCCATCGGCTTCTCCATCAGCAAAACCTTCTGACATCAACTACGGCACACCGCCAGGTTGCGCTGCAGGCGATGCAGAAGTATGCCGAGCGGGAGGGGCTTCCTGTGCGGAAGACCTACAACCTGAATGCTTTGCAGATCATGCACCATGTGAACGGTAATCCCACGAAAACTGGCTGGATCGATTTTCAGTAGAAAAAGCCACGTGGCCCGGCTTGATATGAGTAGGAGGTGGTCTCTGCGGGTTTCAGTTTAGGTGTCGGAGTCCATAAAGTGTTGTACTTATAGGGTTGTGTCTACGGCAACACGGAAGCCAAGACCAACTGACTTGGGGCATCTGGGGGACAAATTCAGTGCCTGTGGAGTGGGGTCATGCCTTGCCTGCACGACGCAGCATGCCCAGTTCGAAACTTTCGCAGAACCGGTGCTCTACCCTAAACCCTAAAGTTTGTGCATTGTGCGATGCTCGGAAGGCTGCCCGGTAGGCAGATAGAACGCAGACGTGGAAGGTCCAGCAACGAAGGCAGGAGACCAGACGGTTTAGGGTTTAGGGTTTAGGGGGCAGGCTTCAAACCTTCGCCAGGCAATCACCTACGCCTCCAAGGAATTGCAAGCAGACGAGGAGGCCACTCGACTTCTGAAAGCTTGTTGTTTGGTTCTGGCTTTGCGTGCCAAGGGGAGTTGGATAGAATCTTGGGGGAACCCTAAACCATCAGGCCCTGAACTGTCAAGGGCATCTAGGAGGTTGAGGGGTTTAGGGTTTCAGGAGTTTAGGGGTTTGAGGTTTATAGGACTCTAAAACCCCAAAACCCCCACCCACCTTCCGAAAAGAAGTCACCAGCCCCAAACCCTAACCCTGAACCATCCTTGGTCAGGGCCCTGATACCCGGAAACCTTCAACCCTGAATCCTTGGGCCCTGAGATCCACAAAAGGTGGCCGTGGCTGCATTGGCGCAGTCGGTCATGGCTCTCAAAGTCATCCCGGAGGCACACCTGGCACACGTGGCCGAAGGAGATTTGTTAGATAGGCGTTTGGGACATTTTACATGTCCCTTCTTGGGCCTGCGAGAATCATGCTTATGATTATGTTCTTTTTCAGGGGCCAACCTGGTTGCAATCGAGGTGGGTCCAGTTGGCGCGCGAGTTCGCGCTTGCTCAGCACAGGTGTCTTAAATGGTAGGATCCCTGTTGTAAAGAACTTGTTTGAGCATTGAGTTGTATTACCCTAAACCCTTAACCCTAAACCCTAAACCGTGAGATCCACATCTTTCAGGGGGATGCTGCGGTGGTCACACGAGCTTCCCTGAAAGGAAAGGGTCCTGGTGCCAATGCCCAAAACATCCCTCAACCCCCCCCCCTCCGAACAACTCAGCTCTTACAAAGAAGTATATAGAGCCTTCTAAAGCCACTATCAGCCTTTGTATAGCGCCCTTTCAAGTAGCCTCAACCCCCTAAACCCCAAATCTAAGCCCCGGAAAACCCTACCCTCAACCCCGCACCTTAAGCTCTAAAACCAGAACCCTTAGCCCCATGAATCCAACTCCCGACCCTAGACCCTAATCCCTAAACCTCTCAAGCCTTAAACCCTAAGCCCTAAACCTAAACCCTGAAACCCTAAACCCTAAACCCCTAAAACCCTGAACCTCCCCCCAAAAAAACAAACAAAAAGAAGCCTTTCGAGGCCCTATGGACCCGGCCCGCCGTGCGCGCGGCCATGCTGGCAGCCGCCCGAAGAGATCCCGAGCCGCTGAAGTTTTGCCCGGAGGCGCCAAAGACAAAGTCTGGGGCCGGGGGTTTAAGGTTTAGGGGTGTGGGGGAGGGGGGGAGGGGGAGTGGATTGTGGGGTGGTTTAGAGTGAAACTTGAGTTTTTAGGCGTTTAGGCTTCTAGAACTGTCGATTTCGGGTTCTGGTCTTTGGTTGTTAGTGTTCTTTCCGAAATTGACTTGAAAAAAACGGGTGTGCTCTCTATGACCATATCAGGTTCAGGGGCTCATGCCTGCGGTTTGGGAGTTTGGTTTCAGAGGTGTAGGGCTTTAGGGCTTTGGTATGCTTCCGGCGTTTGGCGGGGAATGAGGCTCACAGGGCTTGACTCAACAGTCTTGAACCGCCGCAGTTTGCTCTTGTATCTTCAATCACAGACGTGCATGATCGATAATGGCAGCGTGTGATTGAGGTTGCTGGATACGAGGCAAATGTCATCATCGCATCATCATCATCATCATCACCACATCAACATCGTGTTCCTCCTCCTCATCGTCATCATCATCATCATCACATCATCATCACATCATTAACCGTATTCCTCCGTTGAACAGTAAGGATGGCAAACAGATATACAAACAAGGTGATGATCGTGAACAAGAGAAAGCTTCTCTCTGAATGAGGAGTAGCCATATCTGCACTCTTCCCAATAGAGGCACCGATAATGGAAGCTTCACGCACGACACGGGGAAAAGCATCACACTTCTGTCGCCACAAGACAAGATAGGAGGGACAGAACCCGGAACACGGCCAGTATCCCAGCTCTCACCATCCCAAACCTTACTGCAGGCTATGTACGGTGTAGGGCCTAGGGTTCCAAGTCGTTCTTCATTTCAAACTTCCTGCCAGCTCTTAGAAGAACTGTTGGGACTATACCAAGGCCCCATAAACCCGGACTGCCCAAATGATAGCAGACGAGTATCCCAATCCCCAAGCACCAACGTATGGAAGGTCATCCGGGGGGAGGCCGACGTCATGTTGGAGGCAAGTGGACCGTGGTAGGTGCTTGAGGGTCTACGTTCAGGGTGTGGTTTGTTGGTTTGTGGTTGAGGGTTCAGCTTGATACCATGCTACGTGTAATTGAATGGCACTTACCTGCACCAAAAACCCTAAACTCAAAATCCTAAACCCTAAACCCTAAGCCCTAAACCGTGAGCACTCTACACTCAAAACTTTAAACCTCCAAAAGCCTTGCACCAAAGGACCGATGTATATGAACCCCGAGCCCCAACAGCATCGAGCCAAAGGCTATAAGAATCCTAAACCCGAAAATACTCCCTGGTTCTTATTAGGGAATGGGGGAATAGGGTTTGTAGGGTTTAGGGTTTTAGGGTTTAGGGTTTGGGGTTTAGGGTTTAGGGTTCCCTGGTTCTTAGTAGGGAATGGGGGAATGGAGCCCTATGATAGTCCCTTAAGGTCCCCTCTAGTAGTGCCCAAAACCCATTCCTCCATTCCCTACTAAGAACCAGTCAGAACAGCATACAACCCCATAAATCCTGACAAAGCTCAAGAAAGCCTTATAAACACTGCGTACACCCTAGAACTTTGAATCCAAAACCCTGAACCCGCACGCCCTAAACCCAAAATTCCTGAACCCAAACCCCGAAAAGCAAACCTCAAAGCCTCAGACGCAAAATCATGAACCCTAAAACCCCCGTAGCACCGAACCCTCAACCCCAAACCCTAAAACATCCGAAATATCCATCGCCAAGCTCCTAAAGTGAAGCTTAAACCCGAAAAATTCTACATCTCCAGCTTCGAAGGCCCTGAAAGTGCAGCCGAAGTTTGCTTCGGATCTCCCTTCAAAGCTCCTCGAGGTGGGACAGTTGGGTTTGGGGTTTAGGGTTTCGAGTTTGGGGTTTAGGATTTGGGGGGTTTAGGGCTTAGGATTTAGGAGCCCTAGACCCTAAACCCTAAACCCTAAACCCTATAGACCCTAAACGCCGTAGTTGGTGCGCCCGCTGCTGTCTGGATGCGTCTCGCGATTGAGCATGGAGCTGAAATCCGGTCCCCTGATGTCCCTGGAGTCCCTCATAGGGTTTAGGGGTTTAGGGTTTAGGGTTCAGGGTGTAGGGTTGAGGGTTCAGGGTTTAGTGTTCAGGGTTTAGGGTTCAGGGTTCAGGGTTTCGTCGAGTTTTGTCGATCTTGTGACGTTTTCTTGCTGTATATGCACGTGTCTGTGTGTGTGTGTGGTAGCATGTAACATGCATGTACCGACCTATATGCTTCTTCTGCGTATGTACTGCTGGTGGCAGATTGGCCCAGAGGAGTAAGTCTGGCGTTGAGCCAGCGCGGCGTGTGTAGTTCTTTTGGAGCTCAAGGGAAGGAATGAAAGCTCCAAGGTCCTACTACTTTTCAAACCAGCTACGACGGGATCAGGGGGCACTACTGTTGATGGACAAAATTCTGCATGACCCAAATATAGTATAGTACCATAAATCCCATGGTTTAGGTATATAAAGTCATGCAGGATTTTGTCCATCAGCCGTATGGTCGTCAAGGAAGTTGTATGTATCTT